TGTGCTGCTAAGCTGTTGATGCATGTCATAGTTATTTTTAAGCATTTATTTTTATGTGAATATATGTGAATAAATCAAAGTAACATGTTTTGCTGTAACGTTTCAATGCAACAAAAAGAAGATGATTCTATTATCCATATTATGTATTATGTCAAGTTCAAAACATAGAAATTTGTTATAAAATTTTCTGCGTCTTGCGTATAAAATACTCAAACATTACATAAAAGATCGTTTAAGGCACGCATTCGTGTATTTCTATTTAAATATTGTCTACATATACGTACAGCTTAATCAGGGACAGCCAACGAATTGAACGCAATCGACTGGTTCATCTTAAAGGCACAGCCATGAATCGATTTTCATAAATCTAAATTCTTAATTCTATAACGGTGAAATACATTTTGATCCTATCTGTAAAAACAAATTTTGTAAAAATAAAAGTTTCTTTATAAAAATATAATTTGTTAAACTGCTAATAAATAGTTTATAAAAGCAAATTATTAAATATGTAAAAAATTTGTTAGTTTTTTAATAATAATTAAAATTAATAAAGATTGACATACTAGGCTTGACTTACGTAATAAAGATATGAATTGTTTCGAGATTAGTTGAAAACAAATCACGAAATATTATAGACATTTGTGCACTGCTTTGATCGCGTCTCATTATGCACGCTCAAATTGCGAAGTTCAAAAAGTTTGAGTGACGACATTTTCCATTTTTCGACACCACGTGCCGTCCAAGTGACGTTTTGCAATCTCAGGCTTGCAATGACAGTAAAGCTGACTGCAAATACTCCTTAGGTGCATTGACCATTCATCGAGAAAATGCTTTACACGATTACGCAGTCGCAGGCAGCAGTCTATATCAAGGTCATCACTTAATCCAACGTGACATTCGACTCTCCAAGCCCGGGTCCGATATCTAAGCCTGATAACGCCAGCGTATGTTGCATTCTTATGAACTACACGCATAAATATATATCGTAGATACTTCGTTGAAATCTTATCGCCCGACTTCCTCGTTTTAGCTCGACAGACGAAAGATTCATATCGTATAATGATTACAATATCTCGAGATGTTTTTGAAAAATTCTGATTGTTAAAGAACTTTCTTTCTTCATTTAAAATATATATGTCGACAATTATTTTCAAATTAAAATTAATTTTCTGTTTATCATATTTTTACTATCAGAGAGAAAAATGCATTAATCTAGCTAATCATTTCAGACTAACAAATAAAGCTGTAATAAAAATACAGCTATAACAAATAAATATTATATTATTGTCAATTCTTAATGTTGAAATATATTTCAAAAATTTATGATAATTGTTTATTATATTGTGAAATACTCGAGCTATCACGTGATAATAAATTTATGTAGTGATACTCGAGTTATCACGTGATAATATATTTATGTAGTGATAATGTAGATTTAATGTGTATTAAAGACTTTATACAAAATAAAACAAGTATACATTACCGTCTATAATTTGTTTCCTTGAAGTACTTATTTTGAATTCATGATACTGTGAATTATTATGACTATTAGTAAAATATTACAGAGAGATGTTTACATATGTCGACATATTTTATAAAAACTTATAATTGTCAAAATATTTTAAAATTATGATAACATAGGTGTTAAAGACTTATATAAGATAATGACACAATACATACACGTCACGCCTATAATTTCTATCCTTGAAATATTTTAAATTTATGATAATGCAAATGGTTAAAGCTATTAGACTAATAAATTGATGTTTTATTTTTGTCTAATTTTTGTTTACAATTTTTATTTCACTTTTTCTTCTGTTTTATTTTTGTATTATTTGTTTTGAAAGGGTATTGAATACTATCATCAACTTTGCGTGTGTGTAAAAACTTCGAAAATAATAGTTATTTACCTACCTACTATAATGTCGTACGTGCTTTCTCATTCTGTTTTTTTTTTCATTTCTACTTCGTCATTGAAAAATCACATAGTACTCATTGCACGATAAAAATGTTCAACCATCCAATGCTAAACCGGAAGACCACAGGATAAACGTCAGCCATGATTAAATATTAAGAGGGCAAATGGGACCCTCATAACTCAAGCTGTAAATAGACAAGTATGAATGGATAACAAAACATTGTTATTAAGTTAATTTCATTCAGTTCCACCTTACTTTAATAAAAACTTCATGTGTAAACTATTTTTCGTGCCAAGAATTTAATATCAAGAGGCAACGAGTGAAAATCCTAACAAACGCTAACCTCTCTCAACATTGTCAAATCTAAATCGACTCCAATTTATCAAAGAATCTAACCCTAAAGTAATTTTTCCTTAAGTTATCTTGTATTTTTTGTTATACACTTTAACATAAGGACAATGTGTCAAGTGTAAGTCAAATCACAATCAAGATGCAATCAAACTCGGGCTCGAGTCGAAAGGTCGAAGTGTATACGTACTTCGCGGTTTTATACAGAGATCGATCGCCGTCGGTGTTACACGCATACGAGTCAGCTGAACGCTTCGTAATCAGCATCGACGAGAGTCTGTAGTATACCGTGCGTGTAGGCGAGGGACAGCTGATTTTAGCATGATCTATTCCGCGCAAGGTTTGTCGCGCGCGCACGTTTATCCGCGCGTGCACGCGTGCTCTTCTCATAGATGTATATAAATACACTCTCCTTTTGACGTTATTCCATTGAACTCTGGCGCGATTCTCCGCAACGCGATGGCAGAGAGCCAGGGTTACGCAAGTGATGCGTCCCGTTGACCTCCTTCTTCGGAAGAGAATTGACCTTGCGTCTTGTTCTTCACAAGATCGCGCAGGCCCGCCACCCCTAATACTTACAATCCTTACACGATTGCCTTGCGCCTTGAACATAGATGAAGACTCGCTCGAAGAGAGATATTCGTATAACTTTGCGCGGTTACATTGCTATAATCAATCATTTATAAATTAATTTGACATAATAGTTAAATGATAAAGATTTAAGCTTTTTAGAATCTCATAATTATAAAAGAACAAAAGTATTAAATTAATTTATGTTCTGATATTTTAACTAAATAAAATTTCTATTGTTAACATATCGCAATATTTTATTATGATATTATCATATTTCTATAATTAAAGTTCCGCTAAAATTTCTGCTTTAATAAATCGATCGATATATTTGTAGATCAAAATCTAGGAATCTGTAACATTATATTTTATTTTATTTCCAAATTATTCGAAGAATATTGAAGATTATTCAATAAAATATTCTTTCTTCTAAAAACAAGTATAAATATTCGTGTACAATCGTCGTACTTTTGTTAAATATATTTCGTCAATTTTCCCGCCATCATTTGTAATTCCTAATATTCAAGAAACTAAACGTGGCTACGATAGGTGCGTTGTAACCGGATATGACGTCCGTGGCGCGAGAAGCAGTGGCATTCGAATACTGTATTCGCGACGTCTCGCGGACAGATCAACCGTGAAAATCAACGCAGCACGTCGGCCAAGAATTCGACCGTGAAGGGAAAAGGTCACGAATTCGGGCGGAAGCGTGACCGCGAGTGTCACGGAGATGTCACGGTCCTCGAGGCGGTGACATCGTGGCGCGGCGTGTGCGTTACTGTGGCAGCAGTTTTACTAGCTGCGCAGAGTGACACACGTGACCTGCGCGGCTATTCTTAGCGGAGGTCCGTTCGTCGCAACAGACGGACACTGTCTCGATCACTCGTCGTCCGGCGCGCGTCCGTAACGTTAAAGTCGCCAGGAGTCTCCTCTCTCCTTTACGTTTAACCCGTATATCACACCACACGTACTCAACACCTCACGATGTCTGGACTCGCGGATCCTGTGGCGTTCGCCAAAGATTTTATAGCCGGTGGTGTGGCCGCGGCGATCTCCAAGACCGCCGTCGCGCCCATCGAGCGTGTCAAGTTGTTGCTGCAGGTACAGCACATCTCGAAGCAGATCGCCGAGGATCAGCGTTACAAGGGTAAGTGCATGTCTATCTCTCTTTTCTTTGTTCTGAGTTCCTAGAGTCGTGCAGGAAGTGTTGGGGCTACGTTACGACGGTGCTACAGCAAGGACGATATGACGCGATAGTGCACACTGCTACATCGTGACGAATACGCCTCGATAGCTCGGTGTACCGTTAACGCGCGTGCGACACGGCGGAATGCGTGAATGGCAAACCGCCCGCGAAGCATGTGACAGCAGCAAGTAATCTTGAACGTGTCATTGTTCAAGGGTCTGCGAAGTCACAAACCATGTTCATTAGAGGGAGAAGAGGAGACGGCCGTTATGTAATGCCGTTAGAGCATTAACATTTGAGGCGCCTCGTGCCCACACGCGCACCAGCGCGCGTATCCGTGCGAGATATTTCGCGCATTTATGTAACGAAGGTCGGAGTTTCGGCGAGAGACTTACATAACTTTGGCCACGCCGAGATCGTATATAGCTGGAAAAGTCACTCTTCACCGCGGTCGTCCCCTCGATGGATCGATATTTTAATAAAATGCATCGTCCTGAGCCAGATGGCAGCGCGTGGCTTCTCTTCTCGCTCTTACGCTTTTACGCTCGCGAAAA